TATATTTATAAACAAACTTTAACAGTATGAAATGGGTAACCAGCAATTGTAACAGTTACTTCAACAACAAAATCAAAATCAAAATTAAAACCCAATACCATCAATTAATGTGATGCTGAAATAAAACGAACGAGGTATTTCAAAAATAATATTTAGCGGATGCAATGTTGAAAATAAAAAAATCATTAGCAATGAATGAGGATACGCATTTGTTTTGTGCTCGGCTTACTTTGCTTTCCCTTTCCTTCACATGTTGATCGACGATGCAAGTAAAAGATAAAACTGTTTTTATTATAATCATATACTGTTCATGATATCATCCGGTTTCTTAAAAAAATAAACTTTTTGTACGTTGGATTAGGGAAAAAAAGTAAAAGAATATCAGACATTTTTCGACAGAATAAATCTACTTATTCGATTCATTTCCAAGTACTCTGATAAATATAGGCCATAGATTCATGATGATGAATGAACACTTTTTCATATTGAGATTATGTCATACATAATTAGAGAACTTCATTCTTTATCTATCTAGTTCGATTCACCATCGTTTACTTATCACATACGTATTTCAAAATGATGAATGTTAAATGTATAATAAAATCAGATAGCATATATTACGCATTAATAATCATCAGTATTCTATCATTCAAAAATCCATAATATTTTATTCAACTTCGATGCCAAATGTATTAATTGTCATTAAAAAGATTGTGAGTTCAAAACTTCAAGAATTGATTTTGTCATACTAACGATTTTTCCTTCTTTACTTGACGACCAAACGACGTGAATAAAGAATAAAATTATTAGGTGTTTTTATTGATTGAAATAATTGTGCAAATATCGTACTTAAACTTAGATTTTAGTCTAAAAGTAAAATGAACGACTTTTAAAATTTGATTACTTTTACTTGCTCGAATAGGTTATTTGTTTACTGGAAAGTATCGTTTCTTGTTATAATGGTTTTTCGATATACAGGTGTCTCAAAAATCCGAACGGATAAAAAAATTGAATATCTTCATCGCTCTTTTCTCAAATGAGTTCTTTTTTTCTTGGTGATAGAGGATACTTTAAAGTTTTGTTTTGTAGGAAAACTGTTAACAGATACTACCTTTAGCCATCACTTTTAACTTCGATATCGAAATGTACACATTTTCGATTTGTCAAAAAATGCTTTCGAGGGAGTTCCCGAGATGATTTTGAGCCCATATGATCATTCGAAAGTTTTGATGCCATATTCTTCCCATTGCTAGAGGACGATTGGAGTATAACGATATCCAAAAAGCTCATGCTCTTGTGCAGTTTTGGCTGAAGTACGAAATATTTAGTGGATTATATCCCTGATGACTCCAATTTTTCGAAGCAAATTAAGGCTTCGAATTCTGACCTGAAACTTTGGTCAAAACGAGGTCTCTCTCAGGCTAGCTTTTGGAGAAAATTTCAGAATTTTTGGATATAGTTTTTCGGAGATATGCATTTTTCAAATTTCTCACAGTATCGATGGAAAAGCGCCTAAATTTTGAACAATTTATATTCCGAAAAGACTATATTCTAACATTCTGAAATTAATCTGACGTGAGTGAGACCTTGCGTTAGCCTAAGTTTCAAGTCAAAATAAATCGTCTAGGGAAATTTCCTTCGAAAGTGCTTTTTTAGAAATCGAAAATGTGTACATTTCGATATTGAAGTCAAAAATGATGGTCGAAAGTAGTATCTGTTAACGGTTTTCTTATGAAACAAAACTTTAAAGTATCTTTTATCACCAAGAAAAAAATGAGCTCATTTGATCAAAGGAAAATGGAGATATTCAATATTTTTATCCGTTCGGATTTTTTAGACACACTGTACATACTCAAAATAAACTAGCTCAAGATCATCTTCTTCTAGCTGAACAACAAAAACTCGATGTTGCACGACAAATATCAACGAATTATCTTCAACAATTAGCAATCGAACAAAAAAAATTAGAAAAAAACTCATCTCTTCAAAATTTTGATCAATCTTTATCAGAACATCATCATTCAATTACTAAATCTAATCTTCCGAACATTTATAAATTCAATAAGTCATTTGTAATGAAACTATGAAAAATTATACGAAAATTTAAGTTATATCAATAAAAATCTTTCATTACTATAAAAAATCGATCATTTTAAAAACAAATCTTTCTACATCCGTCGATAGCAATAATTCAAAAAATCTTCCTTTAACTATTGATCGAGAAAGTAGGGAATAACAAGATTCATGTATTATTCAACTATGTCTGACTATAAAATTCTACTGGTTTTTTTCTCTTTTTTCCAAATCATCATTTCTGAATGAATAATACAATGAAATTTTTCCATTTCTTTCAAAGAGAAAATATCGATATAGATAGCTAAATTATTTATATATATTTAATTGACAGCATCGTCCTATCGACTATAATACGTTTAATATATGATAAATATCTTCACACAACTGATGACCGCATCATATCTATTCTTCAACAATAAAAAAAATATTTTAGGCAAAAAGGTCAATAGCTTCGGTCATTCATCGTTGTCTAACATGACTGTATCAACATTATTCTCATAGACGGCAATGAGAAAATTCAAGATATATATATATAGAATGGATGGAAAAAGGCAGAAAGAAAAAATGTCGAAAGGAAAAAATATCGAAAATAAAAATGTCGAAAACAAGAATATGAGGAGAAGATGAACATTTAAGATTGAAGGTGAGGGCGGGGAGATTTGTACTTCAATATACTCTCGTTTACAGTATTTCTATCCATCTACATTTGTTTTATTTTTGTTTTCGATATTTTTATTTTCGACATTTTTGTCTTTCGATATTTTTTCTTCCTACCTTTTCCCATCATACCTATATATTATATATATATGCATGTATCGATGTAGAGAAGAAGAAATAGAACTGAACAGAAAATGTCGGATAGATATGAATATGCATACGTCAAATAAGAACGATGTTAATATACTCGATTTACCTGAAGAAGTATTACTTATCATATTTAGCAAGCTACATATGATCGAAACGCTCTATTCATTGGTGGATGTCGATCAACGATTTGATCGTTTAGTACTCGATCCTTGCTATGTTCGTCATTTAGATTTAACGATTCCACCATTGCTTGATCATAACTCTCCAGTAAATAATCAAATTTTTGATCGAATTCGTACAAAAATATTACCTCAAATTTATCATAACGTAACTAAACTCACTATTGAACCACGTTCTATGAAATGTATTCTTAATGCTATTGATTATCCTGTTCTTACATCGTTATCACTAGTCAATTTTCAATCAGAAACACTTTTTCAGCATTTAACAGGTATAGTTGTAAATTTCATTTCTTTCCATGAACTACTAGGCTTTTGTTTTATACGTTTCAGGTGACAATATACTTCCTCATCTTTTTACTAATCAAATTACACGTCTTGAAGTCAGAATTCGTGATAGAGAAAGAGGCGTACCTGGTGGAAGTGAATTAAACATATTTTCATTTATATTATCTATTGGTAAATGTCTAACTGATTTGACCTTTGGTTTACGGTGGATAGATGAATGCATGGAATTTTCGTTTTTTGAACTACCATCAACAACTTTTGTATCTTCATCTCTAACTAAGTTAGTTATTACTCTATATACCTTTGATGATTGTCTTTATCTTCTTGATGGACGTCTCAAACATTTGTCTATATTGAGTATTGATATAGTCAAAATTAGAAGAGCATCATCGAATATCGATAACACAGTAAGTATAATTGGGAATATTGAATAGAAAAAAAACTTATGAAATTTAACGATTGTTTTTAGAAAAGTCTTCCTGAGTTGAAATGTTTCTCACTAACATCGCGTTGGTATACATGTTGTTATGACAATCGTATCGTTCCATTGCTTCGTCGAATGTTAAATCTTGAGGAATTAACATTATTTCTTTCAGTAATAAGAAACGAATCAACTTATATTAATGGTACTCAATTATACAATGATTTCCTCATGTATATGCCACAGCTAAGCAAATTTAATTTCAGTATACATACTGATATTTTCAACAATGATATTGATATTGATCTTCCATCGAACAACGATATTCTCAATAGTTTCATTAAAATAGGATATCAACAAGTGAATTCATATGCTGATGATCAGCTCACGTACAAAAACTGGGGCTGCTGTCATGTCTATTCACTTCCGTATCATTTCAATGATTTTTTATTTATGACAAGTCGTTTTCAAGGTGGTTTGTTCACGAAAGTTCGATGGTTGCTAATGCACGATATACGTCCATTTGAAAATGAACTATTTAAAATCATTTCACAAGATTTTCCATTTCTCGAAAGTCTATCAATTATTAATCGAGAATCACAAAAAAATAAGCAACATTCGTCTACATTTATCAAATTTCCTCATCTACTCAGACTCGATCTCACAGTGGCACATACTACATATGCGATACAATTTCTCTTCGATAAAAACACTAGTTTACCTCGTCTGATGCATCTCGACATTAAATACAAAACATTAGCGACTGTAACAGAAGGTTTTACTAATGATGCTGCACGGCATACTTGTGCTCAAATAGAATCTCTTGTGATTCCAGAGCTATTTGTTCGTCCAGAAAATTTTTTCTCATATTTTCCTTTGTTGTAAATATTAATATTGTAAACATTGTTTCAATAAAAAAATGTATTGTGAGAAAGATAAATATAATTCGTTCATGATAATTAACAAATTACTGCAGGTAGAAATTGTTGATTGAATTGAAAAGGATTTTACATGAAATATTAAGAACCTTTGATAAATATGTTGTTTTAATTGTAATGAGAATACTATGTTGTAATTGGTAACAAAATCGAAGTCAATTAGCAGAGAAGTGTTCGTAATCGGGAACGCGGAGAGTTACCAGTTGATTTTATTTTTATTACATTTAGAAATTGTCAACATCTTTAATTATCCACTATGAATAGTATTCATTAGACGAGCAATTCCTTGATAGTACAAATATAGAATGAGAAGTAAGAGTGAAAGTATTAATGTATTCCATCAAACTTTCATCATTTGATTTAAAGGTCTTCATCATTAGTTTTAGTAAATAATAAGATCGTGAATGGCAACAAATACGACAATATATGAAATTATTGTATAACGAACGATCTAATATGTATCAAATTCTTCTATCTTTGATTCCTTTTATTATGTCTTATAAAACTCTAATCTGTATCATTCTTCAACTATCGCTTTCATTATTTAAGATACGTTTCTTTTTCTCCTGTTAATTAATCGACCTCATCGAAAAGTGAACACAATTTTAAAATAATTACAAATATTCAAAAACTTATTTTTAATAAAATAACACCATTTCAATCTACTGAAGAAATTATAAAGTGAGTTAATGCCAAAATTAAATTAATTAAAAGATGAATTAACAAATGAAATTTCTTTTCATTTAGATCAGTTAATAATTAATAAAAATATCCCTTTAGTGATATAAATAATAACGGCAAAAGAAAGACTCTTACAGTTTTAAAAGGTGACAAAGATGAATTCTTTTATTAAGAATATCAAGACGAAGAAAACGTGAACATATTTCTTGTTATTCGTCTATGATCATATGGTTCATTTTTTTATAATTATTTTCAGTTGAAGTTCTAGAGCATGCTGAATTATTTCTCATGAATATCTATCCTTTGCTAAATTTATTTTTCAATAAAATCTAATGGGGAAACACTAGAGTTGAAAATACATGTGTTCCAGGCGTACTACAATCGTGTTCTAGCTGTACTTGTACTTTTTCTTTAAAATGCATAAAGTACTTCTTTGTTCTCTAGTTTAGACTCTGCTAGGAGTGTGTGAGTGTGGGGGTGAGTGAATGTGAGATGAATCAAGAACATGACCCACACTCAAATGGAAAAAGCCCGTACTCTTGGTACTCAAATCAATATTCATTTCATTCCAAAGTCTACAACTCAAGGTGCAATGGCCTTTCTACGATCCAAATTTGGAGCACGATTAAAAAATAGTGGTACATTTAGAATTGTCACTGATCTGAATCGAGATAATGAGAGTTCAGCAAGTGATGCTGGTGTTCTTCTACTTGTTCAAGTTCAAAAATTTGGAGTCCATCAGAAATGTCTTATATTTACTGGGAGCGCATCGGAAGGACGCCGAAAATTAAACAAAATTTTTCAGGAAAATCAATTGGATGATATTAAAATAACCGAAGATTCGATAGATCTTGAGCAATTTGTTCTGCTCAAATGAATTTACGACACGAATTTTATTCTATCTTCCAAAAAAATCATTTTATTCCAGTAATTTTTCATCATTGAAGTTTTGCCTTAAATTGACATTTTACTCAACATATGTTTCCGAATTTATATTCCATATAGTTTATTTAATCAATGAAAACAATATCCTTGCACTTTGTTCTTCTATGACTTTGAATCAGAGAAATGATATTATATATTAAGTCGTGATCATTCATTAGTGAACTAGCTGGTTTGCTATTCAAGTAATATGAGTCTCTATGTTATTTATTAAGGGATACTAAAGTTACGGATACTTGAGAATAGAATATCTGTACAATCATTAGAGCTCTTAGGATGTTATAATTTAGGGTATGGGAGTGGTAACATATTCAAGGAAAAAAGTAGACCGGCATCTCACACCCATCTACACTCATACTCCACTCACCCACACTCCACACCCACCCTACTATTTATGAAGTTTTTCTTTATAAAAAAAAACTCACTACTCTTGTCTAACAAATAAGAAAAATTATTAGATAAATCTTTATTAATAAGAGATTTATACACATTTCTTAAGTGATCATGACTTTTGGAACACCCTATATACTTAGTCATATTTGTATAGTAATTTTATGAATATGACTAAAGAAATTTAAGTTCATAAAGATTATCTTTTTGATTGTAGAAACTTTCCGAATGAATATTTTGCTCATATGATGAAAATGGAAAGTGGAAATGTTCATAATCTTTTACTTTCCGTTACTGTCAGATGTCCTAACAATGTATTCGAGAAATTTGTCAAGACTATTCCAATCAGGTAGAAAAAAATTATTATCTTGGAAAAGAAATATCATTCGATCTTTATAGAATTCTATGCCGAAACTCTAGTCTTGTTTCTTCATTTTCTCGCTTATTTTGACTTTAAATTTAATTACATTTTAAATTAATGAATGATATTTGACTGAATCAACTTTCTTATGGCTTCCAGTAAATCGAATGATTCTTAATATCCAATAGAAATCTAATAACTCAAATTTTGCTAAAGACACAGTTACTATATAAACAAATCAGATATCAAAAATAATTCTTTAGTAGTTTTCTAATTCATATGATATTAAAAGATCATCAAAAATTGGACTGCCAATACTTTGTATTTTTAATTAGAATAGATAAGGGCTTTTCTGATTAAAGTATATCTCAAGGATATGTAAAACGAAATATTAAAGAAAGTCTCGTATTATCTGACTGAGAATCCTGCTGCATATTGGATACGTTAAAGCGATTCAAAATACCAAAGACTTCTGTGTTACAATCATATTAAGAAAAGTAAAAGTATATTCTCTTAAAGGAGAGCATTCAAAATAGAGTAGCTGTTGTCCTACATTGATAAAGCATTAAAATATCTGAATCAACTATGTTATTACAGGTCTCAATACCTGTCTGAATGAGTCGTATTTATGTGATAGAATTCAGATATGTTTATAATAAAGCATTTAATGGACACAACAGTTATTAACATTTATCTTATGAAAAATCATAAGACAAGTAAAAATCTTTCAAATGGATTCTGGCAAAAATTTCTTTTCATGAAGAAGATTCATTTACCAATAATTTGACATCAAAAACTAGGAAGAAACTAGTCCAAAGAAATTAGTTCTGAACGCTTGCAATCATCTTTCCAAACAATTCATCACCTAGAAAATTATTAATTAAAAGCATTTCGAGCTCACTTTTCTTGATCGAAAATGCCTTATTTCTCAGAGTTCTCATTTTGAACTAATATTCACAATTGTATAAACATTCTGTGTCACAAGACGAGTTAGTACATTTCGTAGGTGATCCTTTACTTTTTCATACAATGTGTTTCTGATGTTTGTGAGGAATTTATGGACAAAAATTATGAACTCTATCAGACATGAATATTAAGTAGTTTTCTATTCAAGCTTCAAATATGAAGAATTTCATGTGAATTTTTATGAAAAAGTGAACATAAGTGTGAGATATCTCATCTGAACAGGACAGAAAGCTTACCTTATTGACTTTTAGTGCTTCGGCGAAATGTTGTGTTCCATCGTTCGTGATTTTATTTTCTGAAAGCCACAGGTTGATGAGTGTCTATTATTAAAATTAACAATAATCATGATGTTTGCTTACGAATACTCTCTGACATCTTTATTTATCCAATACAATTGAGCTAACTATCTGTATGAGATTGTTTAGTTTACGCTGTGACGTGAAAAATAACCTTAGGCATCATATAAGAGAAGGATTTGTATCCGTATTGATATGTTATATATTCTTTTCCACTAATTAAAAGAGAGTTTTCTGGATATATATGATATTCATAAGAAGATAGTTTTTGATAAATTAAACTGAAGTTGAAACTATGGCCAATGGTGCATTTATCTACTCGTGGGGATGAGCTAATCTCATATCATATAAGCTTCTATAGATTGATATAATCGACTAAGAATAGAATCAACTCTTTTGAAGAAGTCCAGTGAACAATTATTGATAGAGTTCTATTTGAAACCCATATCTCTTTCCTAAATGATTTAACTACTTTTAGACTAAAATCTAACAACATATTACATAAACGGAGAAAAATATGTTATTAACTTCTTTCATACTTGAAATAAATAGGTCAAATCTTAAAATAAAATTGAAATTTAATCACATAAATTTCGCTAGAGATAGTAAGAATTTTAAAAAGACAGAATAATCATCAGTTTGTCGTAAGTTTTCTGATTAATACGACCTAATATCATCATCATCCGTATTTTAACAGAAGCATTTCAATTTTAAAAAGAATAGAGATGAAGTCTTCTAATGAAAAATACTTTTCAAGATTATACTGAACAGAAAGACAATAGAAAAACTTATAGTATTATGTTCACAAATGTTTAATAGATTCTTGCCGTGGTAAAGAAATCAAAACTACAAGTGACTAAAGTATTACAATTATACTGGTATCAAGTCAAATATATTTCGTTGAAAAGCAGCATCCTACATAATCTAGATAATGTCCTATGTTTACGAAGTGTTCCAAATCTTAATTAATGCAGTTCGAATAAAATGTCACTCTATTTAAACATTTCAATTTTCTTTTATGGATTATAAATCTATGATTCAAAACTATCAAACTTAGTTAAATTTCTCAACTGATCTTGCTGAAATCTAAAAACATCATTTCCAAAATACCCTCGAGTGAACTTGAAAACAGCTGATGAAGAATTTTAATATTTTATCGTTTAGATTCTGTTGTAAAAACTCAGATACTCTTGCTAATTAACTTCTTTAATTGTAACACCATGAAGTTTTGACAATTTCATCTCAAAAATTGTATTCAAATAGTTGTTGATTCAATTGTTTAGTACGAAGAATTTCATGTATGTATTTTGAATTAATGAATCTTTTTAATTTAGAGATTCACTCAAAACTTATCTTACCTTGTTGATTTTTAAGGCATCTGCAAAATGTTGTGCTGCATGATCTCAGATTTTGTTGTTGCCGAGTATGAGTGCGTTGAGAGTTTACATGAAAAAGGAAGGATGAACATGAATCAGTAATTAATTATACCCATATAATCTGTCTCTTTATATGATTGATCATCAGTCTCAACGTTTGGTCAGTAAAGAAGCAAGTGCAAAAAAGATGAGAAAAACAAAATCATCAAGTGAGATACGCTGCAAAGTTTTCGGATAGTTTATTATTTTCTTAATTTAATTTTTCGAATGTTTATCGTTTATGATTACATTTTTCGGTATCGAACTACTCGTCATTCTCAAAAAAGCCAAACTACTTGTAAAATATAAGACCATATTGATATATTAGACATTGACGATAGTCTTCCGATTTGATAAGAATGACTCAAGAATTCTCTGTCAGGAATTAACAATTACTAATAGAGGACAACAGATTTTATGAAAAACAAAAGGATATTACTTATACTTAAATAACATCGAATATTGTTAAAAGAAAAAGAAGTTTCTACCAACAATTATTGCTTCGGATCGGTAAATAGCAATCGTAGTGCATTGAAACTGCTTTAATTCGCTTAAGAAATTCAATACTGGATTAAATTCTCTTGAAATTCAAGATTGAATGAATAGAGTCAATTGTAAGTCAGTCTTGCAACTAATTTCAGAAGATATTTTTTGTGACCTAATTTGATTTCGCTCAAGAAACTTCTTCGCTACAAGATCAGTACTATATGGTCATTCTTTTCATGAAATACATAGAAAATGGTGTAATATTATTAAAAAAATATTTATTAAACTATAGTAAAAGTGAGAGAAAAGCCGAGTTATGCTGCATAAGTTATCCAATAGAATAAATTCATAAGAATTCATAATGGATCGAATCGCTGAAAATTAAGACGCTTATTTCATAGAGTCATGCCATGAGTACACATACAGGCATACTCTAAATGACTGATAGATGTAGAAAAAGATGAAAACTTAACAATAACAACTATGCCTTTTGTACATTAGTTACTGACGTTAAATTTCTTTGATAACATAGCCTTTGTTATAATTTCTCATGAAATCTGAAGTAAAAGTTTTTGAAGATATGAGACAACGTCTGAATAATGAACATTGTTGATATACAATAATTGAAGTGTAACGAACTGGATGATATCGATTATTGTTTAAAGTAACGAGCTTGCTAAATGACTCGTTAAATAAAGGCTATAATCTGTCGTGAGCAAATTCAAGTTTTTACTTTGCATACAATCAAACTTAACTTGTAGTACTTGTTTTTTGCTTACAAAAATTTTCTTTTGTAAATTTGATTGATAAGAATTTTTCAAAAATGTCTAGTTCCTTTTTGAAAATTCATCTTAACATTAAAAACATGAATAACTTGTCAAGACCATGAGACAATCATGAAATTTTTACCAGACATATAGTTTTCTTATTGACTATCTAAACATGTGATAAAATTTCACTGCCACTTACATAACAATTTTTACTGACAGTTTGGCTTTTTCAATACGAGACTCAACTTCAAAAATTCATTTCATCAGATCAACGAAGAGAATGTTGCTTATTTTTTCCGATGCAGTATTGAGTTAGTACTACGGACAACTAGAATCCGATTTCTAATATATTTATGCTTGAATATAAGGGAATTTTCAAGAAAATATGAAAATTTTGGTGCATATCTATGGAGGATGAAATGTAAAGTTAACTTACTAGAACTTTTAGTAATGCAGGTTGTATTCTTTGATATTTGTACGACGATTCTTCAGATTTTATCATCTACACTTGTCTTAAACTGACTTTTTAAGTCTTTCAGTCTTTATATGACATAGATGATGAAGGAATATCTCAGCGTTGACTGATTTTATTGTATTAATTAGTTGTAAAATACATTTCATTAGACAGATTTCGATATTTTCAGTTTAATTTAACAAAATTTGTAAAGAATAGTATTGAAAAGACTTGCAGGAAAGAGTCTCATCATCATTGAACGTTTGTTCTTCAAGTTTAGAATATTTTCTTGTTTAGTCTAGTGAACAATACATATCAATGAATTCTACTATTAGACATAAAAGTGCAGAAATTTTTCTCGAATTGATGAGACTCAGAGAATCTATTAACCCAACAGCATGATTTGTTCTAGTGTAGCTATGAAAAAAAGATCATACTAAGTAACGATGTCAAAAGTTTTTCATAATTAATTCTACTGTAAAAAGTGTCCTCTCATTTTCTTAGAATCCCATTTCCTTATGAAAAAACGTCAATCTCAGTAAATTATTATTTTTTTTACTGATTAAAAATGATATTCTATGATTTCTGAAATATTACTTAATGTCGACAGGTAATTTTTTCGTATAAAGATCATCAGCGAAGTACCATCATGAGGGTGGGTGGGTGTGTGGGTGCGGGTGTTGATAAGTGTCTTACCTCTATTCACACCCACAATTACACCCACACCCACACTCCACACTCACACCCTTATCATAGTTCAACGTCGAATACTCATTTTTGATGATAGAATCCGTTGGTATATCTTGTCAAGTAAGCTGGAAAACAAAATATTCCCAAGAAAAGAGAAAAGTGATTAGAAGATTTTCCTTAAACAATAGTGTTAACAAAATTATTAAATTAAGCCGAAAATGTCAAGATATACTTAATTGAATGCCCTTTATACAAATTTGAATGAAATGTATTCAACATGCTAACAGAAATACTGGAGGATGTGGTTGTCTGGTTTCTTTATTCACAATCCCATTCTCTTTAACCTTCTTCATTCGGTGAAAAATTGGAACTATATATGATAAAATTCTAGTTGTTGAATCAAAAACTGAATTTTGAAACATTCAGTTGAACTTCCTGACAAAGACAGCAATCTTTCATCTAAAACTCCTCACCACTTTATACTTTTTTCTCTACCTGAAATTGCTATTCAATATTAGCATCAACCCTCGTTGATTTTTAAATTTCTGGATAAAAACTTAATTATATCTAAAGACGGAATTCATAACAGTAAACGTTCTCTTTGATACAAGACTAGACAGAAAAGTTGGGGTAAGATAAAAAGAAATACTAAGTCGGTGTGAAATTATCATAAAATCTTATTCAAACTTAAAGATATGATCCTAAAATACACTTCAGTGATCTTGAACAGATTTAATTATTCAAAAAATCTTCTATGCATCTATTAGATTCGATTTGCATGTTTAAAACACTCTCCTAACAATTCAATTACAAAAAAAAAAGAACTTGACAAGTTGCTCTCAAAAATTTTTCCACTATAATCTCAGATTCGATTGTTGATTATTAAAAACTTAGTGTAATCTACTGTAAGAGTTGGAACATTTGCACTTGTAACATACCTTATTTTCTTTGAGTAGTTCTGCGAAATATTGTGCACCATTATCTCCAATATTATCTCCAAGGGATATTGTGGCGAGTGTCTTCGAGAAAAAATAAGAAAGAACATGAGAGTCAATGATTAATGAGAAACCAATTCATTGTTCTCTTTATTTGATTGCTCATAAATTTTAAAAGGATTGATCAATAGAAAACAATAAGTCATAGAATAAGTGATCTGAAAATGTAAATTTACTAAATATTTTATATTGGTCTTTTTTAAATTTTTTTTAATGATATGACCTTTGACTGTTTATGGGAAATTAACTTGATGAAAGAAGTTTTTCATGTTTCCACTTTTCTTTACAGGTGTGTAGTTTATCTTGAGCAATAACAGAAATAGTTCGACACTTGGAAATTTGAGGGTGAAGTAAAAAAAAAATTCACAATTCATGTCTCTTTTGGGCAGAAACAGATTCTTAAGTATTTTCATTGCATAGAATATAATTCAATTAGTACTCTCTCATGTGCAGAAAAGATATTGGAATATATGCGAGATATCCACCAAGATATACGACAGGAGAAGTGAATGATTAAAACAGAAATACACAGAAAAGATCTTAATTGATCAAGATTAAAAGACGCATTGACATTTTTTTTCGATAGGATGATTATTATGTTCTTTTTCATTATTTATTATGTAAGCAAAATTTTCAATTTAAAAAACTACTTACTCGTTTAAAAAACAGCTTTTCTAATCCTTTTAACGCCAAAAAAATCTATGTGGCTAACTATCCATACAAATCATGTTTTTAGACAAAACAAATAGAGTGAATTAAAATTTACTTGAATTAAAGCATAAATCCGTGACGAAACTTCTCCGTACGAAATTTTTTTTGTGGACAGATGAAAAATTCCGTTATATGTCATCATTTCGTTCGAACAACTAAACTTTCCTTAAATAGTATTTGTGATACTTCATAAAAATATTTGTCATCGACAACGGTCACGATTATAACGTGTTTCTAATAAACGAAACAGTTCAGATGTTAAAACTTCGTAGTATATCACTTAAGCTGAAGATAAAAGAATTCTCAGATCAACTACGATTTTAAAGTCGTTGCCTGCCATGTCGCAGAAAATGTTTTAATTTTACTTTAGACGATGTTGAAGAAAAATATAATTTATCTTTAAATTTTTCATAGAAAGTTTATCAAAATCTTAGGGTTTATTTGTTTTTTAATTTTTTTTTTGACTAATAATATTAAGAAAAATTTCCGATCAGAAAGAAAGGAGTCATATCCTCGGCATCATTCTTCACCCGGTTGGACCATTCTGGAGCGGTAACAAAAGCCAATGTACTTTGAGATATGAGAGAATGTTTGTAAAACAACTTTGTTGGTATTCGTATAGTTAAAATGAAGAAATAATTCATAGTGAAGATTTTCATAATAGAGATGACACCCTATTAATTCCTGCTGTAGTAAATAAAGTATAGCTTGAAACAAAGAATTTACTCATAGAACTATGTGTTTTTTTTCTTTCTTTTATATTTTATAAAGCAAAAGATCTCACTGCTGCTAACATAGATAGATCAGCTTTAAAGAGCGTAAAAAGTGTTTAATTTGTCTTAGAACTTGAAAAGTGGACGAAGTGCTGTTAATACTCAATATTCACCAAGTTCTAAATTTGAGCAATGATCCTTTGAGAAGAGTTTTATTTCTAAATGATTATATTCCACTTTGAAAACTGATAAAATCAAAAGTTCGATTAAGGACCCCTCCCCTCTCAGAAAAGTCATTTTTTCGCAAAGTAATCGAAGTCGAGTTTTTATCATAGGAAGATGCAGCGAAGTTTCCTCTTTCAGAATATATATAAAGTTTTAAAAAAAGGTCAAATTTTTACAGATTTTCCTAGGAGATTTCCACCTCACTACCCGGTTTTCGGAGATTTTCGCGGTTTTTGTTATTTGTGGGAAGACTACTTTTTTACTTCTATCAGCATGGAATCAACATTCCTATATCATATATAAGTACGACCGGTAGTGCTAGCTTACGCCATCTATTGCGTGCTTTCAAGAATTCCACATAAATATCCCAGGTCGAGACGAACGAGCATTGCACGCGTTCCGAACAAGTAGGTCGCCACATGTTCGTCCGTTCAGAACGCGTTTCCTCTACCGTTCGTAATGCGTTCGATGTCGCCATAAACAACGATTACAATTGGCCTCTGTTATGCAGGACTCATTCGCCTCTTCTACTTGCATCTTCTATTAAAATACAATGACTTGTTTCATATCGAGCTTTATCTCTTTCGAAATTTTTCCAACATACAGTTCACAAAAAGTGTAACAAAAAAAAATCACAAGAATACACAGAGATATTCAATTACTGAGTAAACAAAAAAAAAACATTTTCATAATGTTACGTAGTGTGGTTAAAAAAGTAGCAAAAAAAGAATACGAGTTCAAGAGATGCTTTAAAAACATTTCGAAAGTGGCTATTGGTTTTCATTATTGTTTACTGTTTTTATTGTTGGTTCATCAAATGTTGCTATTTGTTGTTCTGATAACAACCTAAAAAGATAGATCAATAAGTATTCAGAGATAGATCGATAGAAAAACTCACTTACGATAATTTTTTGCGATGAGCAAGTCCACGTCTTTGATTACCACGTATGATTTTACCTTCATATTCCCAAAAACCTTCAACTTTGTCTTTGTCTCCTTGGAAGAATGCTGTTTCAATAGCATCTGAAAATAAATATATTAGCTAGATAGTATTTATGACATGATAAAAATTAATTACCTTTGATTTTCGTTGTTCGTTCGTTTTCTTGTTCATGGTTATCTTCCATAATTTCATTTTTTGTAAATAACTCATTGATCAATTTCTTCATTAAACAGCCAGGAGTTGGACTCAAAGGATCACGTAACAAATTTCGGCCATTGTAAATCTAACATAAGAATGTAGCAAAAAGAAAAAAGCAGCAAAACTTACGATTGGAGGTAGATCACTAGGTGTTTCACTTGGTACTGGATTCTAAAGCAAATAAAGTTTATATGTTTTATTTAGCATTATTCTTTCGTTCCAAACCATTATTCTACAAGGATCTTGTTGCAATCTATATATAAATTATTTAATTCACACATAGCAAGAAAAAAAATTAGCGTTTCATCCTGTTTCTGTTTCTAATCATGATCTTTCTTTCAGTTTGAAAGTTTTAGTATTTTAAAATTGAACGTAGAGTAATAACTGGAATCTAACTTTATAAATTGATCTCACTAAAATATAATTTTGAATTTGATTTTAATTCTGTTTTCATTTCAATACTCAAAAAATCTATCAAAAGGTTTCTTAAAGAAAAAGATATAATAATTACTTTATTCACTTTGCGTATTAATCCACCCAGTCTTTTGTCAACATTGTCTAATTTTTTTTCGAAATCATTTTCTTTTTTTGTTACATAATCAATTTTTTTATTCAGATCTTTTATCATAGTTTGTATTAAATTTAAAGATTCGTGTACTGGATTTTGATATGTACTTTCCATTGGATCTTGTATACGCTTTCTCTTAATCTGAGGCGTGTAGTAAGTACCTGAAAAAAAAATAGTTAATTGATATATCAAAATATGTTTACCTGTATGCTTATTTTGATTTGTGTGTCGAATGGAAGTCTGATACTGTTGTTGGCTAAAAATTGGTACATCTCGAATATATGGATTGTCTAAAAAGATTTATTAAAACTATTGGTATATCGTATGTATGAAGAAAACTTACTTTCGTCGAAGTCATTTTCGTCAGGCTCCCATTCGTCTAGATCACAAGCAAATGGTGGCTGACTATTTGAATTAGCAGATGGTGACTTTAGAGCACGACCAGGCATTATGGAACCAGTACGATTGAGCATGTATGAAAAATCACCTGAAAAAGGAAGCATTATTCATTGAAGCCTTAAAATAATTTGCTTCCTCAATCATGTTCTGTTTCAAGTTCAACAGGAGTACACACGAAAAATTCTTCATCAAGTTTAACAAAAATACACTTATACATAATAAATGAACATGGATATATAACAAGACTAGACATTGAACGACGTATAATTGGATAGTACCTATCTAGATACATAGACCAATTCGGAATCTCTTCCATCGGTTCGAGAAGAGAAGAAAATTTGTTTTTTGAATTATACAATTGATTAAAAAAAAAGAACGGTTCGTTTTTCACATAAAAAAAAGAAAAGAATTTGTCCATAGTATAAACTTGAGCTTGTTTCATTATCATTTACTTTAACACATACTTTATAGCTACAGGACTTTTTGCGTCGACTGTACATCATGGAGTGAAACACTAATAAACCACGCTGATACCTAGAATAGTACTTCACTGATGCATCAGGAAATTCACCAAACATCTGGCTATAAATCAATTGAAATTCTTGTTGATAACTGTCTTTAATTTTCCAATCCAAAAAATTATCGTCGATGAGCTGTTCATTAATTAACAATTGTGGACTATATTGCACTTGTTTTGACTGAATTTGGCTAAAAACAGACCACCAAAAAGAAATTTGTTGTCCAAGAGCGACCGCCCCATGGGCATACTTGGCAATATATTGCAGACAACTTTCGGATGCAAATAAGCTAAAAAAGGACACATAAAATTCTACCCCAAGAAACCATAAATCTGAGATGTTTGCCTTTACCTGTGGTATGCAAGACCACCATGGTCTTGAACCTGTTCGCACAAATGAATCATTGCGTGAACGGAATATAATTCTTTGCATTTGTTGTACAAAGAGGAAAATAGACGAAGATATGTTTGTATAAATATAGGCATATTGGAAACATCAGTACAATCAGAAAAGTGTCGTAATACACGGACGTAAATAAATAATAAAGAAAAATGAAATACATAGATTTCTGGAAAACAATTCCTCATGGTAAGGCGTAACCGAATCAAAACTGGCAGAGCTGTGTACATCATGAATGTTCGCAACTGTGAAGCCTTCCATTTTGGATAACTTCCGAAATCTCGAGGATAACGATTCATAGAATTGGGATATTCAATTTCTTCAAGACAATTATTAATGAAAGTTATTATGCCAGAATCACATTTAATAATATCATGCCACTCGAATAATAATGATCTGTAATACAGAATCATAGAATAACCATAGCTTACAGAAAACTGGTTCTAGCAAGGACTACAGAGTGGTTATGCAAACGTTGACAACTATTAGTTCGATAAGAAAAGCAGACAACAATTTCTATTACAGTGCAAAGGTGAAGTAAAAATCCTAGCTCAAGTTTAATCATTCAAAGAAATGTTACATTTATTCGCATTACTATTTTTAGAGTTTCGACTGATAATATGAATGAAGTTTAAGCACAAAATTAAAAAAAGATAAGATAAACAAAATGAAAGCTTGCTTGAATCATAGAAAAAAGAAATTTTTAATGGTATAATAATAGTTACTTACCGGAAATTGACTTCGAGAACCAGATGAAAATAATCGAATGTGGATTGTTTCGGTACCGATAATAAAGAGAACAATGGAGAAACACCAACCACACCAAATGAATTTTCACTTGAAGCACCAATTCGTTTCGCACATTCGTTAATATGCTCTTGCGTTCGTGGTGGTGGGGGTGATTGGATAAAATCTATCCAACGATACAAGGTATGATGACCACATGGTTTGGCGCAACGCCAACCTTCCATCAAACACCGGGAACAACAATAAAATCCATTATGATTAACTAATTGATTACACTTAGAACGAGCAGGTAAGTCACCACTAATCAACTGCACTTTCACAGAGAAGTGCCTGATTGCTATAAAAAATCCACAATATTAGGTGCAAATATCGAAAAATGAATATTATTGGAAGATAGAAGATTGAAAAACAGTATATTAAGTTATTTGCTAAGTGAAATATTTCCTTGACTCGTAAACAATCATTGACTTACTGTTGTTTATTTGCAAATTTACTCCAGTAGCTTTCAACAATTTCAAATTCTTGACAATTTTATCCAATAGTATTGAAGCAGGTGGAGTTACACGTGAATGCCAAAGACCGAGTAAAATAATATTGTTATAATACTCACGAATCGGATAAGGAATTTCAGCAATAAACGACATGATCTGAAAAATGAAAATATATCACTCAAATCAATTTAGGTCAAAACACTGACTGGCCAAACACTGCTTTGTGTTTGCCTTGACTTGATAATATTTTTGCCATCTGTACTGAGCATTAAAGTTATTTGAGATGTACCAAAACTTCGTTGTTGTTTATAAATGGGACCTAAAAAAAGAGAGTAATCATAACATCATCGTTTAAAAATATGATTCCTGTATCACTTACTATTAATAATATCCGCACCTGTCTGATGCTCTGGTAATTCATACCACTCCATTAATTTGATATTTGCTGCAACAACTCTTTCAATCTCATTCACTAATGAGAAAATGCAGAGCTCGGAATTAACGTTTCTCTTGTTGTTGCACATGAAACAAATGTCTGTAAATTTTGTCAATTGTTGAAAGCAGTTGGTGCAGAAAAAAAAAGATTCATAGTTAAATGAAATATCGAGCTTTTTCCACAATGCATCTGTCGCTGTTGGAATATCATGAATGTTCAATTTATGTACTGATCTTAATAACGATAATAATGAAATAGTTGTTGTTTTGTTTAAATTTGACTGTCGAATAAATTTTACAATTTCAATAAAAAAACTTTTATTTTTTTTATTTTCACTATCGATTAATGTTTCATGTTCATCTTGTTCAGATTCATATGAATCATCATCAACGGAATCTTCTTCGTATAATATTTGAAGCATTTCATTTTCGAGAATAATTTGATCTTCATTGTTACAAGAATCATCTAAAATATAAAAGAAAAAGAAATGAATGATATTATAAGGTGCAGAACTTAGATGAATCTAAATATGAATTAATATTCTACTAACGTTCTTGATATGTATGATTTTCCAGAAAGTCTATATCAATTGATTTTTCATCATAACGGTTAGGACCAGCCACTACGTAATCAATTTCATTTTCATATGCTAAAATTATAATCAAACGATTCGAAAACATTTTGCGTTTATATGAAAAAGCATACATGAATTAGAAAAAAAACTCTGTGTAGCACGACCAAATGATTTTTCATGAATTCGTTGCAGGTATCGTAAGTTCTGTTTTTTTCTTAAATTACGGTCTAAATTGTGAAATTTGAAATAATATACTAAATAAAATATAACAATAAATCTTACAATAACTGCGAAATCGATTGCCAATAACACCATTATTGTTACCTGCATCATTACTATGAATTGACTTATCCATAACAAAAATTAAATAAGAATTTTATCAAAAACTTTAAAAGGCCATTGTAGATGTGGTCATTGAATTCATCTAAAAATTAAAATAGTTGATTTCAAAACCAAATTGACATAAACAATTATTTTCTTTATCAGTTATTAAAAAAAACTCAATTAAAAAATAATATCTCTCTCATGGCTGCCATTCTAAAAGTCTTTCAATTACAGCCTCTACAAAGAAGACAAGAACGTTACGAACGCGTGACGAACGCAAGAGTACGGTAACACGCGTGCCGAACACATAACGAACGCATTTTCTTTCGTTCTTTCGTTCTGCACGCGATTAGTCACTGTTCGTCTCGACCTGGGATTATCATTATACCATTATTTCCTGCACTTGAATGAAAAATCCATTTCTAAAACTTTTTAATAAATGAAGTTTTACAGCAGCAGAAATTTATTTATTTTATTTAATATACAAAAGATATTATAAGTCAACGTTTCGATACTTCGCGTATCATTTTCAAGACAGAATACACTGATAAATTGTGAGAAAAAACAGAATATATATAAAAAAAAAAAAAAAAGAATGACAATATAGTTTCATATTATGAATAGGCAGGTGAATGCGCTCCACTATTAATGAATAAAATAGTCGAATATGCACATATTCGACTATTTGTCCCCCCCATGTGGTGTATTATTTTGTGTTAATTTAATTTTAACCGTGGGTTTAGATAGTTGTAACCCCTCAGGGTAAACAATCAAAGGAGTAGAATGCATCGTTCGATTGAGAGTGGGCTTTTTTTGTAAGATATGTAAAGATTCACGTACTAATAATCGATATCTATTTGGGTCTTTTGAGATGATTTCCCATTCAGTCCAATTAATCAAATGATTTTTTTCAACATGATGTTTGTAGAGAGCTGATTTTTTTAACCGTTCAATGTTCTTTACGTGATCATCTTCTTCTAGGATATCGATTTTCGGAAAATAGTTAATTTTTGGTTTATTTTTATTACGATCAGATCTCCTTATGTGTTGGTTTGTTAATGTAAGATCATCAACCTGAGAACAAGGAGAAGATCTGTTTAGTTGAGGTGCTCCATGTTCTTGGTGTCTTTTTACGGCTTGTCGAATGGTTTTGCCTATATAGCTACCATCACATTCAGAACAAGAAATTCTATAAACCACATTCGACTGATAATCTTTTGGAGTTTTATCATTCCCTGGAAAGAAAGATGTAACTGATCGTGGTGGACGAGAAATTGGTTGTATATGTAAACCGGGTCGAGTTACTTTTGCTAAACCTATAATTTGTTTGCTTAAATTATTCGTTTGTTTACCGATATAAGGTAAGTCAATAAGGATTTGTGGACCTTTGGAACTATTATCAACAGATTTAGTTTGTGAATTATTCGAATTATTTAACATATTAGATTTTTCTAAATATCTATTGAGTGTTTTTTTAATTTGGCATTCGATAAATCTTAATGGATAATCATTAACTAATGCTAAGTCTTTAACAAATTGAAATTCCTTATCCATCGATGAGTAAGATGAGCAGATTCTGATTGCTCTATAGATCATTGAATTAATAGCGGATACTTTATATGAGTGAGGAACAAAAGAATTCCAGTTCAGTAAAAGCCCTGTAAAGGTTGGTTTTCTATAGATAGATGTTGAGAATGAATTTGATTCAATAGTACTCTCCTTTTTTCTCAGAGTATTTAATGTTCTTGTGATTGAGATATCGAGAAATGGAATTGAGTTGTCAATTTCATGTTCAACTGTAAATTGTATATCTGTGTCAAAACTATTTAAGATATCTAATAATTTATCAGTATCAGTATTTTCTCGAATGATTGCGAAACAATCGTCTACATATCGTTTAAGATATAAGACTCCATTATGTTTTAATCTACGTTCCAACTTAGATAATAAATAATTCATGTACACGTCTGCAAATAAAGGCCCCAAAGGGCTGCCCATCGCTATACCATCAATTTGACGATAAATTTTTTTTATTAAATAAAAAATGTGATTCTTTTGTTGCTGTATCTAATAACCATTTTAATTCAGATCTGTGTTTACAGTTAGTACACCATTCATCCTGCTTCATTCCTTTATCATAAAGACATGTATGCTCAGGACCATACATTTTTTCTAAGATAAGTTGAGTAGTGCGTGCTAATGGGACTTTAGTAAATAGCGAAATCACGTCAAAAGATACCATTTTAATTTTTTCATTAGTAAATTCTAGATTTTTAAGTTCATCAACAAATTTAAATGTGTCAGTAACAATTGACGGATTAGTTCTCAAGTGTTTTAATTTCTTTGCTAATAGTTTCGATAATTTATAACTAAAGGTGTTGCAAGCCGAGATGATAGGACGTAATGGAGCACAATCTTTATGGATCTTTGGAAGTCCGTATGCTTTGCCGGGTTGGGAACCAACTGGTCGAGCAAAATAATATTCATTCTCAGTTATAAAACCGGAATCTTTTAATTTAAGTAATTTTCTTTGTAGTCGTTCCTCTTTTTGGATAGTTGGGTCTGAGTCTAGACGAATAAATGTTCTTGTATCACTCAAGATTTTTTCCATTTTATTTATATAATCTAATTTATCAAGAATCACCACGGCCCGACCTTTATCAGCACGGGTTATGTATATGGAATCATCTTTGGATAGATTAATCAAAGTTTTAATTATTGGATCAGTTTGTTTCTTAAACCTACGTATAGATTTCTTCGCATGTTGTTTGAATGTATCACAATGTTTACGTAATCTATTTGCTACGAATAATTGCTCTGGTGTTCGATTATATATAATCGCCTCATCAATATCACATTCATCGTAATCTTTCTTGTCAGAACAATGCCCAATTAAATTCACGAATAAAGTCTCAATGTTTGCTATGAATGTCTCATCATCAAATGTTACTATAGGTAAGACATAATCAAGCCCATATCTTAATGCTAATAGTTCCTTAATAGTTAGAACTCTTTTTGAATAATTTTTTATCGATGAAATATATATCGGTGAACGTTTATTGCTTAATGGTAAATTCAGTTCTCTTAATGCATTCAACTTTTTAAGATGAGTTTCTTTCCATATGATTTCTTTTTCTATACTCATTTCCTTTATAATTGTTGATATTTGTGTAATGATATTATTATCTATTTCCGAATCAATCAATGATTTTAAATTCTTATGAAGCCCGTAACATTCGGTTAGTTGTCGTTTTTTAATCTTAATCTCATTTACTAAGATTTGACGATAACAATTTTGTATAGCTCGTTGATAATGTTGA